GAAAGAAAGAAAGAAAGAAAGAAAGAAAGAAAGAAAGAAAGAAAGAAAGAAAGAAAGAAAGAAAGAAAGAAAGAAAGAAAGAAGGAAGGAAGGAAAGAAAGAGAGAGGAAGGAAGGAAGGAAGGAAGGAAGGAAAAGAAAGGAAGAAAGAAAGAAAGAAAGAAAGAAAGAAAAGAAAAGAAAGGAGATGAGCAAGCCAGTAAACAACTCTTCCAAGGCCTCTCCCTGAGCTCTTGCCTCCAGCTTCCTGTCCTGCTTGAGTTCCTGCCCTGACTTCCCTCAGTGAACCATTACCTGGACATGTAACATGAAATAAACCCTTTCTCCCCCAGCTTGCTTCTAATCATGGTGGTTATCACAGCAACAGAAAGCAAACTCACACACACACACACACACACACACACACACACACACACATTTTTTTGTAGCAGGGTGTCACAAAGTTGCTCCGGCTGGGACAAGGTCTGCAGCCTGCCTAAGCAGCCTTGGACTTGAGCCCCTCCTGCCTGAGCCTCCTGAATTGCTGAAGTGAAATGCCCCACCACACCGTGTGGAATTTCTCCATCTTAAAATAGGACCGGACAATTCTGCCTTCAAACTCAGTGCAGACCATTCAAGACCTGGAGCTGCCGGCTTTCCTGTTGGGCGTCGATGGTGACTCCACCACCAGGAGGCCCTCATTCCCAGCCACTGTTAGCTCAGCTTGCTGCTGCCCCTCCCACACCTACACTGGGCTCCACATGGCTCACCCGGTCCTGGCTGTCTCCTCCTCCCTGTCCCTCTGCTCTGCTCCTACCTTTACTCACCAGCATCTTACCCAGGCCTCCAAGCTGGAAATAGCGGAAGACCTACCGGCTTCTTCATGTCCCTGTGCCCCTTCCCTCCATCACCCCACACCCCATGTGCCTCAGAGGCAGGAGGCACCTTCATAGTTGGGGTCCGGGTCCTCTGCCTCGTCGGGACTGTCAAGGGGCTCCAAGTAGGATGCAGGGACCCAGCCTCGCTTTGTCTTCATCTGGCAAAACCACCAGCCTACATCAGGGGCACAGAGCGGTGAGTGAGGGCTGGTGCCTGGCAGCCTTCCTCAGCCAGGAGAGCTGGTGAGGACACAGAGAAGGAGCACTCCAATGCTCACTCTCAGCAGTGTCCCCCAAACTCCACGCCCAGATCCCACCCCAGGCGCAGGTCAGGGGGTTCTCGCAGTGAGGAGGGGATAAAGCCCCTAAATGTAGGCTAAGCATGGGATAGGCTGAGACTGAGGCCAGAGGGTGCTTGGGCCTCTGCATGGAACCCAAGTCTCTGTGACCCCAAGACCAGTTGTGGGAAGGGCCTGACCGCTCTCGCTCTTCTCCACGACGTCCACCACGTCCCCGGTCGCTACAGTCATCTCTGTGCCTGAGCTCTTCTCATAGTCAGCAATGGCACGATAGGTCTGAAGGACGATGGGGCCTGTGATGTCTGCACAGATGGAGGGCAGGGTGAGTGGGCGCAGCGGGGAGGGCAGGCCTCTGGGGGGGGAGTGACGGCATCGGGGGAACATGGGCAGCTGCCCAGCTCCTGGCTCATGGGGGCTGTCATGTGCTGCAAACTGGAATTAGCCCGGCTCATGGTGGTGGCCCCGTGTCATGATGGGCTCATGATGGAGCACCTAGCACCTTTCACACAAGGGAAGTGCTAGGAACTGTGTCCTTAGCAGATGAAGTTAGCATTGTTTGGTTTGAGTCAGGGTCTCACGGGGTAGCTCTGGCCTGGAGCTTACTCTATAGTTCAGGTTGGGCTGGAACGCATGGAGATCTACCTGCCTCTGCCTCCCTAGTGCTGGGACCACCGTGCAGACCCCACTTGTTTTCTGAGACATGGTCTCATATGGCCCAAGACAGCTTCAGGCTCACTGTGTAGCCCAGGACAATCTCAAACTCCTGATTCTCCTGCTGCGTTGGGCTGTGGTGGTAAGGACACACCCCTAACTGCAAGGTGGGGTGACCCCAAAACTCCTCCTCCTCAGTGTCCTGTTTCCACACAGCCTGCACTCAAGGGCCTTGATCAGATCCACAGCACCTGGACACCCCCACGCGTGGGGACCCGGTCTCTGGGCACCTCTAGCCCCTCACCAGTTATGTTACTCTTGCCATCTTTGGGCATCAGATACGTCTCCGGCTTCTTCACCCTGGAGAAAGAACGGGCAATATGGAGCAGACCCTCACCTTGCCACTGTAGAGGAGAAGGCTTCAGGTTAGACCTGCAGGAGGACTTCCCAATAGCAAAAGGAACCAGAGAAAAGAGGGTCACCCCAGAGACAAGGTGACCCTTGTCTCCCAGCCCTAGGAGGTGGGGATGAGACACAGATCGTCATAAGAATGACGGGGTTGGGGCTGGAGAGCTGGCTCAGTGGTTAAGAGAGCCTGTTTGCTCTTCAAGAGGTGCTGAGTTCAATTCCCAGCAACCACATGGTGGCTCACAACCATCTATGAGATCTGGTGCCCTCTTCTGGCATGCAGGTGTATATGCAGGCAGAATATTGTATACATAATAAATAAATAAATTTTAAAAAGTGACGGGGTTGTCTATGCAGCCAAATTTGGGAAGGGGGGCAGAGGAAGCACAATGTACAGCAAACCCCAGGGAGATGGCCAGAGAGAGATGCCTGGCTTGGGTGGGGTTCCATTCAGTTCCCAGGACAGTCCCTTCCGGGGCCCCCAGAATGCCTCATGGTGACAGGAGTCTGTAAACACAGTGTTGGCCGGGGCCCAGGTTTTAAGCACTGTGTGTCTGGGGCCAGTCCCTCCCCTCTCTGAACTTGGATGCCTCCCTCACACCCCCCACATTCTGTGCCCCTGTCCCCTCCCCTGGGGAGGTGGCTTACTCACTGGCTGTCAGTGGGCAGCTTCAGGTCATCAGGCCGAACTTTGAAGAAGTCCAGCAGGTGTGGGCAGCGGGAGATCTTCACTGGAAGTCCCATGAGGGCGTTGAAGTACTCAGTGAGCGTGCCCTGGCGGCTCTCAGCTGCACGCTGCCCATCAAACCACCTGGGTGCTGGGTGGGGGCACCAGAGGCCCATGAGAACACACACACACACACACACACACACACACACACACACACACACACGTCAAGTCCGAATGTTCTAGAAAGGGGTTTCAGAGACCAGAGGAGCTCTCCCCCACGGTGCTGCCCTCCGCCCCGCCTCACCCGGGAGGTGTGGGATGACTCTGTTCTCCGAGTGGATCTCTCCTGCCTCAATGGGGAACATCTCCTTCAGCATTTTCTACAGAGAAGGAAAAGACCTGCTGGGGCTCCTTGGCAGAGTGCTTGCCCAGCGTGAACCCCGAGCATTACATAGATGGGGTGTGAGAGGGGTGCATGCCTGTCAGGAAGTGAGGCAGGAGGATCGGAAGTTCCAAGACATCCTCCGTCTCCATTGTGTAGCAAGTTTGAGGTCAGCCTAAGATACATGAAGAAAAAGAGGGGAAGGTGCTCCAAAAGACCTGATCAGGCTGGAGCCATTTGTAATATCCACCAGGAGACAAACACTTGTCCCCTTTAAATACTCCCCCTGCTCTCTCCGTGTGCGTGCGTGCATGCATGCGTGCATGTGTCCCTGTCTCACTCATTTCTTTATTTTGAGACTGGGTCTCACGGTATAGCCCTGGCTGTCCCTGGAAGTCACATAGACCAGGCTGTCCTCTTCAGATACATGCTAGGCCGCTGGAGGCCCACAAAGGCAGAGCGGAAGCCCCCGACACTCACATGGAACTCGTAGATCTCGGTGAACTTCCTGTAGACCACCTTCTCCGACAGGTCCTGCCACTTAACCAGGAACATGTATACCTGAGGGGCAGAGCAGGGGGAGCACTCAGCACCCCAGAGGGGCAGAGCAGGGGGCGGCGCTCAGCACCCCAGAGGGGCAGGGGGCGCTCAGCACCCCAGAGGGGCAGAGCGGGGAGGGGCGCTCAGCACCCCAGAGGGTCAGAGCAGGGGGGCGCTCAGCACCCCAGAGGGGCAGAACAGAGGGGCGCTCAGTACCCCAGAGGGGCAGAGTAGGGGGGGCTGCTCAGCACCCCAGAGGGGCAGAGCAGGGGGGGCGCTCAGTACCCCAGAGGGGCAGAGCAGGGGGGAGCGCTCAGCACCCCAGAGGGGCAGAGCAGGGGGAGCGCTCAGCACCCCAGAGGGGCAGAGCAGGGGGAGCGCTCAGCACCCCAGAGGGGCAGAGCAGGGGGAGCGCTCAGCACCCCATGCCATACTGCCACCTTGGGCTTGGATGGAAGCCGAGGAGCCCCGGGGAGGCAGGCCTTGGGGGTCAGCCGGGGTCACAGGATGGGCAGCTGGAGGATTATCGAATACTGCTGAGCACCTACCGGAAGGCCACACAGCACCAGGTGGCACTCGTCTCTGGCCCTCCTTTCGGAGAGTCTATATACAGGGACAGAGACTTCCCCGTCTCACCTCCCCGAGGGCAAAGGGGAGACTTTGTCCCTCATGGTGATGTCACCTCCTGGAGAGCTGACCTCAAATGTAGCCAGCATCATAGAGAAGAGAGCTGAAAAGCCAGTCTACAGGCCTCTCCCGGAGCTGACTAGGCAGGGAAACTTCCAGGAGGTGCAATCCTTGGGCCTTGCCTCTGGACAGAAGGTGCTGGCTCAAGCATGGATGTGGGCTCAGTATGAGAACAGAGAGGGCGGCAGCTGGGGAGGGACGTACAGGGGTGTCTGCCCACCCTGGCAAAGTCCTTCTCAGACATCCGAGAGAAGCCTGAGGCCCAAAGATAAGAGCCCTGTGCCTGAGAGGCCCCC